GGGGGGGGGGGGGGGGGGGGGGGAGGGGGAAGCAGAGGGGAAGGCACTGGGAGGTATCTGACCGAAATCAGGCATGCCATGTACTTGTATTCGAACATGTGACTAACACAGCAATCAGCTGGCTGTGCCAAGGCATCGCCACAAAAAAGGCCAGTCCACTACCCAAAGAACCTAGCTCGGTGGGTACACCCATGAACTGTTCACATGCAGACCCGTGTCCGAATACAGGTGATGGAACTTGATTAGTAAGACCAATCACTGCTGAATTGCCCACGGCCGGTCAGCTCAATGATGATATCTCAAGCCCGTCACCTGCTGGGTAGTCGAGCGGGGCCCTAAGAGCACTGCCAGATCGGACCTTGCTCCACTAATCACCAGGGAAAAGAAACAAAAACAAAAAAAAAACTGTTCAGAAACAAAAAAACAACGATTCCATTCTTGTCTTTTGTGCACGTGGTGAGTAGCGGAGAGAGGCCCTCTCCACTGCTCACCAAACGGGCAGAGGGCCTGGCTGCAGTACAGAATTGAAATGTGCAAAATGAGACTGGATGCACCGCTAGAACACGGAAAGATACGTTGCCATCTTTTGTCTTTTGTGCATCTGGAGACTAGTGCAGCCACAGTCCAAATGAATTTTCCCCTGGAACAGTGAAAGATACATCGCCATACTTTGGGCCTTGCTGCACCAATCTCCAAATGTGCAAAATGAGACTGAATCTACCGATAGAACATGGAGAGATACATTACCATCTTTTGTCTTTTGTGCACGTGGAGAAGGAAGAATCTAATCTACTGAAAGAAAAAAAAAACAATGAAGAATCTACTGGCCAAAACAAAAAACTGCTCTGCACTTCGCAGCGCTATTGTACTTGTATTCAAACATGCACCCAGCGAGTCGGAACCGGCAGCAACTTTTCATTTCGTTGGGCCCGCCCCTTGTCCCGCGGCAGCTTTCCCAACACTGGAAGGCGCGTCTGCGCGGGAGCATTACGCAAGACCCGCATTTGTCAAATTTAGGCATGTCATCCTCGCGTAGGGGCCATGCTAATCTTCTCTGGAGTGTTCCAATTTTTTAACAGAGGTTCCAAAGGACAAGTTAGACATTGTTTCTTGAAAACCAAAAAAGGACAATTGTATTAATTAGACCCTCTCTCGGTTTCTGTGTCTCATCCTTGTGCAGGTACTGTTGATTCCTAAAGAGAGACAATGGTACACAGCCGCAGTCTAATCTCCAGACATTAAGGGCCTCGCCACACCAATGTCGAAACATCACGAAATTCGACATATGCCAGGAGATTTTCGACATTCCCTCCTTCGACAGAAAAACACTCTTCACCACACAGCATGTCCAAGTGAAGAACTCACGAGTCGTATGCACAAAAGAGACAAACTGGGGTGAAGATAGGACAAGCGTTGGTGCGTTCTCTTTTTCGACATTCGGGCCCATCCGAGGACTGTTGAAAATGTCCAAGTTGCAGGCTTGAAGTGGAAAAGAGCCGTTCTCGAGAGGAGGTGTAGAAACCCTTTCCCTGACAGCTCCTGTATTTTTTTTGCATCTCGGATTTCGACATGCTGTGTGGCGAGGAGAAAATATCGAAAATTCAGTTTTCGACATTGGTGTGGCGAGGCCCTAAATATAACCACTCCTGCACTCCCTTGTCATTCTGGGGAATGTCAGTCCCGTCTCAATCCACCGGAAAGTTAAACAACAAATACAAGTCATGAGTCACTCTATATTTACTGCCGTTTACGCCACAAGGACCCCTGATGGGGATTGATTGCTCCCTGAGAGAAGATCGACTGTCAGTTTGCGTGAACAACTAAGGCTCCTCTCAATCTCGACGACGAGCGCTGGGACCGTCGTGCTGACCTGAGGTCCAAGAGCTGTAGAGGGATAGGGCCTGAGTACACGATAGGGTCATTGTTGACACTTGTCTAGTCTCCAATGTTCCCTCAGTCAGTCGCAGCCGCCAGCTTTGGCTGGGTGTACTCTGCCTCCCAGTCTGTTCACTGTCGTACGTGCTTGGCCCTAGCCATTTTTTTTTAGTTTTTATTTTTCTTCCCTTAACACAGAAGACCCTTCTATTCTGGGGGCCGCCAGTCCAGTTGCTTGTTATCGGCAAGCAAGAGTACCAGAAACAACGAGAGAAGGGAAGTTAGGAAGACTCAGCCCAACCCTTGCAGTATGAGTCACCTGCTCAAGGGCGGGACTGCTACGAGCCGACCACCCCCAAAACCATAGCCTTCCTGGGGGACTTCTGCTGGCCGGTAACCTTACTGGCAGCACCCAGTCACGCAGCAGAAGAGCCTCAAGAAAGGCAAGGCGCGGGTGAGGGCCTCCTAGCAGCCTCTCGGACCATCTCAACCCTTTTTTTTTCCTTTCGGTTACGGGTGACAGCCTTGAGATATCATCTTTGAACTGAGCAGCCGCAGGTAAATTCAGAGTTGGGCCGCAGGTCCACACACCGTGGGAAAATCAAGGGTGGGTGGGACCACTTCGCCAAAATTGGCGAGGAGAAAACGACTCCCTCTGTGGTACCGGCTGACCAACTGAATGTGTGTGTGTGGACGCAGGTTCGCATACGCGACATCCGCTGCGGCTGGTCGAGCACCTGAAGGCTCAGCGCAAGAGAGTTCGCAGCCTGGCATTACTGGTCCAGTACCTGTGACTTGTACTCTTCCAGGCTCCGGAGGTGGGACCAGCAGGACCAGCAAAGCCCGGCTCCATCCCGTAGATGTTGTGGAAGGAAACTCGGCCCTGGATGATGGCCGTAGTGTACTTAAGAAGCCACCGATGTTGAAGATCCACGCTACAAGAGTACAGTGCGATGTCACATCCAGTCGAATGTCACGTCAAGTCCAACTGAACGAGGTTCTGAAGTTCCAACCACATCCAACTGTAGGAGGTAGAAACAGGCAGGCCTGGAGAGGCCAAACAGGCACCAACTGTGGGCGCTCCTCCAGGTCAAATGCTGCACAGGTCTGATCCAAATAAAATAGGAAATAAACTCACCACTGATGTTGCCAGATCGCACATGAGAGAGTCATGAAAGTGGGCCACAGGCCCACAAACCTCCTGCACCATCCCAAATCCCCCCGTCGTCCCACAAGTGACAGCGGCATCTTGCAGGGAATTGTGGAACGAGCGAGTGAGTGATGGAAGCTGGAGAATGAAACGAGAAAATCCCGAGGTTGAAGGAGATTACGAGTCGGATCTTGAGTGGAGCAGCAAGTTGCTAGAGGAGTTTGGCGCCGGGCGACATTGGAGAGGTGGAATGAGGAAGATTCTCCTTGCGCTTAATGAGGCTTGAGCGGAACCACGTGGAGTGGAGTTGCACGACTTGCAATGCTCTTGATGTTCTTTGCTTCATTAGCAGCCAGTGGCTTGCCGAAGTGGAGGGGCGCTGCCAAACATCAGATGCTGAAGTTATGCCTGTTGTTTCCCCATCAGCGGTGGATGCAGTCGTGAATTGCCTCAGTGGAAGTTTCCGGTTGCTGGGAAAGAAGAAGGATGATCCTTACCAGGTAGTAGGGTGACAGCTTATCCGAGGGCATATCGAGAGTATTCTTTGCAGCGAGGGGTTGTGGAGGATTCGGCACGGCCGTTGCCATGGGAGAAATTGAGCATAGTGATAGCATATATTAGGAACAAGGTGATGACATTAAAGGGATACGAAGAAGCGGAGGCATTTCTTGATGGTGGTGCTTTCCTGTATCTATGGGAGAGTTGGCAGAGATGCGGAGAAGGTTCACGACTACAGTACAAGGAGATAGATACGAAAGAGTGCATGGTGCGGCCAGGGTACACAAAGACTGATCGACATGGAGGAAGGTTCTTGATACAGTTTAAAAATCCAGAGGCGGAAGAGACATTTTTGGGGATGTTGGGAGAGATGATTATTGCGTATGAGCGCATAGGACATGACTTACGGAAAGGGTTTGTTTTCGGGTCGAGAAGGGGGGCCAGACCATTAGGTCGTGGAGGTTTTATTAAGCGCAAAGAGAAATGCTTTGGTGAGGCAGGGGTTTCTGAAGGAGAAAGTGGACATAGTTTTCGACTTGGGGGGGTGCAGGCAAGGATAGAATATGGTTGGGAGTCTTGGCGAGATGACGAGGCAGGGAACCTGGAGTAGCGTAGGGAGGTTCATGCAGTATTGGTATGGAGTGAAAAGGGGGTGGAAGCGGGGTGGAGAGGTAGCAAGAGGATTATTAGGTGACGAAGAGAATCGCGAAGAGGTCTAACAGCAGACTGGTGTCAAGGGAGCCAAACTTCATCGAGAAAATTTGTAATGCCGAGAAGGAAGCGATTCGGGGAGTCAAAACCCTGGAAGGTATTCTCTTCTTGGTAGCACTGGAGTAGACATAACCCCTGTTTCTGACGTGGCGTCTTCAATGAGGATCTTCTGCAGACTTGTGAGGCTCATCTCCCTTCTTGTGATATGAAGATTGAGATTGATCTCTAATCACAAGCATGATAAATGGATAATCCCCTCAACGCAAACGGCATGGACTTATTAGCAGTCCTGGGGATTTAGATTCTTCTGCAATGATACATTGATAATCCCCTCAACCCAAATGGCGTGGACTTATTAGCAGTCCGGGGGTAATCATTGATAATTCGGGCGACAGCCCTTGCTTACCCTTTGCTT